AAATAAGTAAATTCATTAAATGCAGTCCTTCTGCTAAAAAATAGTTCCTGACAACAGCAGTAAATGGCAAGAGAATGTTCCGGTGTAACATGCCTTATCCTATGGAGTTCAAATAAAAACAGAGAATAGGTGCAGTTCTCATCTGCGGTGTCATTTTTTACACCATATATGATATTTTATCGCACACATACATCTGCTTATCTCTCAGCATGATAAAATATCTGCTTTCTGTCTTTTATTTTAAAACAGACCAATTTGTGGCACAGTGTGAGTTTGCAAACATCATTATGGTGTAAATTAATGGACATACAGTGCCATATTTGTAACAGAAAAACAGTTTTATTTTGCTGAAATACTTAATACATAGAATAGTTTTGACGCTATATTGATTGTTTATGTTGCTTAGGGTAGTTGCTAAGGTTGTGATACACAGAACCGTCGGGTGAAGCGGTCATAGCTGTGCTTTATCGTAACTGAAACATCTGTTGACCAATAAGAATCAAGGACTGGAACTAGATACAAAGACTGTGAGTTTACGGTCAGGACTATCTGTTTAACAGCAGTTTAATAAGGGATGAACTAGTTTGTCCAATTAAAGGCAGATGGGGAAGACTGAAGGGGTGGTAGTGTTTGGAAAACCTGTTTTGAAGCAAAAAGATCTATACTTAACTATCCAGAAGCATTCCCATTCATGTCAATGGAAGTTGTTTAGTCAGTCATCTTTGCTTATGGGAACACAATTGGGCAGACAAAGAACGCAATGAAAATAAAAAAAATGCTGAAATTGTACTCAGCCTCAGGCCATCCAAGATAAAGAAGAGTTTGTTTCTTCATTGAAACTGAGTTTGAGAAATTTTGCATCACATCACTTGCTCACCAATGGATTCTCTGCATTGAATGGGTGCCGTCAGAACGAGAGTCCAAACAGCTGATAAAAACATTACAATAATCCACTTGTCTGAATTATATGTGAAATGTGCACAGATCAAGCAGTTTATTAAGCAGTTTATTGGTGAAAACATTCCAAAACACTTTTATACAAATATGTTGGTGGAGAGGACAACAAGCGATTAACTTTTTTCACTGGAGGAAGCATTAGTATGCATTATGTACATCATATTTTGGCCAGAAGCAACAGTTTAAAGTTAAAAAGTCTTCTACCAAACACACAGCTTTTCACTTCACAAGATGTTAATTGCTGGAGTGGTGTGGATTAATTGTAGATTATTATTGTGATGTTTATATCATCTATTTGGACTCTCATTCTGACGGCACCCATTCACTGCATTGATCCATTGGTGAGTAACTGATGCAATGCACAATTTCTCTAAATCTGTTCCGATGAAGAAACAAACTCATCTACATCTTGGTTGACCTGAGGGTGAGTAAACTTTCAGACAATTTTGGCTAAACTATTCCTTGAAGAAAAATGATTATAGAATCATTAAGGGAAAACAGTTCTGGCTTTCATTTCACTTATTTACTCTAATGCCAACTTGCCAAAACTTGACTCATTATTTTGGAAATAATCACTATTTTTGCAATTCTGTTTGTCCCTGGAACCTTTAGTTTCACCTGTAATGAAACTTGCCATCATCCCATTGATTTTTTTTTTAAGTTCCCATAGTCTTTCCTGGATCACCACCACATGCATTTGGACAACATGAGAGAGACAAAAACACATCTTTCCACATGCGCTCAGATATCCTATCCTATCTTCTCTTAGTTTTAGTACAACATTTTCTTTTCTAGCAGTGACACCCCCAACAATTTTCAACCACCCTTTTATTTGTAATTGAGCACTATCATTATAAAACTAAAGATTTAGACACCTAAATGATTGCTGAGTCATTGAGGAAGGTGGATGATCCATCTAAACTTTATTTTTGTTCCCCCATATAGACACAACTGAAGTGTCGTGAAAGAGTTTTTAGCCCAGAAGATGGGATGGGAGCTTGTTCCCATGATACTTCTGGTACAGAGAGGGGCGTCTTCATTCCTATAAGCACACAAGGTGCGGGTCTCGATGCCCTTGAGGAACAACACTGTAATGGGAGCTTGAAAAAACAGCCCATGTCCACTGGAGACGATTGCGATGGCCAGCGCTACAGCGCAGACCCAACTGTCTTTTTCGGAGAAAGGAATCAGAAGACCACTGGTGAAGATGGTTACATGAGCCCTATGAACAAATCAGCCTCAGGTAATATAAAAAAGAGAGCTATTTGAAATATTCAATGTCCTTTTTGAAGAGTTGCATTCAAAATCCACTTGGCGCAAAAAATATGAGGGGGCATGTGCATGTCGCTTCTGGGTATGCATGAATTAGTTTGGTGTAAATCACCTCTGAAAGTCTTTTATTGCACATTCTCTGGTCGATAATATCGCAGTCGTTCCATTTCAACCTCAGATAGTTTAAAACAAAAGAGTGTCTGGGGTAAAACATTAATCCATTGTGGTGGGTTGAGTAGGATGATAATTCCGATGAAGAAACAAACTCATCTACATCTTGGTTGACCTGAGGGTGAGTAAACTTTCAGACAATTTTGGCTAAACTATTCCTTGAAGAAAAATGATTATAGAATCATTAAGGGAAAACAGTTCTGGCTTTCATTTCACTTATTTACTCTAATGCCAACTTGCCAAAACTTGACTCATTATTTTGGAAATAATCACTATTTTTGCAATTCTGTTTGTCCCTGGAACCTTTAGTTTCACCTGTAATGAAACTTGCCATCATCCCATTGATTTTTTTTTTAAGTTCCCATAGTCTTTCCTGGATCACCACCACATGCATTTGGACAACATGAGAGAGACAAAAACACATCTTTCCACATGCGCTCAGATATCCTATCCTATCTTCTCTTAGTTTTAGTACAACATTTTCTTTTCTAGCAGTGACACCCCCAACAATTTTCAACCACCCTTTTATTTGTAATTGAGCACTATCATTATAAAACTAAAGATTTAGACACCTAAATGATTGCTGAGTCATTGAGGAAGGTGGATGATCCATCTAAACTTTATTTTTGTTCCCCCATATAGACACAACTGAAGTGTCGTGAAAGAGTTTTTAGCCCAGAAGATGGGATGGGAGCTTGTTCCCATGATACTTCTGGTACAGAGAGGGGCGTCTTCATTCCTATAAGCACACAAGGTGCGGGTCTCGATGCCCTTGAGGAACAACACTGTAATGGGAGCTTGAAAAAACAGCCCATGTCCACTGGAGACGATTGCGATGGCCAGCGCTACAGCGCAGACCCAACTGTCTTTTTCGGAGAAAGGAATCAGAAGACCACTGGTGAAGATGGTTACATGAGCCCTATGAACAAATCAGCCTCAGGTAATATAAAAAAGAGAGCTATTTGAAATATTCAATGTCCTTTTTGAAGAGTTGCATTCAAAATCCACTTCCGTGTTCCTTTTAATGTTTGTAAAATGTCTTAAGTCTCCTTTTCTCTACAAAAAAAACAAACAAACAAACAAAAAAAAAACAGCGTTTCTTCAGTAGTTCTGTTTGCATCATTCACTCAGAATTATATTTCTTTGTATATTCACTAATTCACGAGTGCTCGATTTATGAGGTGATTTATGCAGAATAGTGTGTTTACATGATCCAAAATTCTGATTAATACAAGCATATATCTTATTTAGATTTATGAAAGCTGGAAAATGTTCTTAATCTAGTTCATTTGTTTACATGACTTCTTGATTAAGGTAAAAATCATCTTACCTAGTATCGGACTAATACCAGTGTTGTTATTGCTATCTCTATTGTTAAGTCAAGTTAAAAATGTCATTAAATTAAATAAAATAGAATTATTGTAAAAACCAAAAAAATAGAAATGCTGGCTTGGCATCTATCTGAAGTAAATATGTTGCTAAAATGACAAAAACTAAAACTGAAAAAAAGAATAAAAAAAGAAATAATAATAATAATTAAAAAAGAACAAGCATATAACACAATTACTAGAACTTCAACTAGAATTAAAATGAAACTGAAGATAGATAGATAGATAGATAGATAGATAGTAGAATAGATAGATAGATAGATAGATAGATAGATAGATAGATAGATAGATAGATAGATAGTTAGTGATGAATGGCAATGATTCTATATACAGTATGGAGCTTTTGTCATTCTATTTTCATTTTCTTTTGTGTCTACAGACCATCTTAGTCCTGTCGAGGAGAATCCTTTTGTAAACCAGCGGAAAAATGGAAATATTACTGCACTGGACAACCCGGGTTACCACAGCACCCCTGATAGGAAACCCAAGGGTGAGGATGAGTACATCAATGAACCCCTTTACCTCAACACATACAACAACACTAGTGGGATGAACCAGGAGATTATGAGGAAAAATGGAGCTTCCATCCCGCTACAAATGACAACAGCAGCCAACACCGCAAGTAGCCACGTTATCCTCTCGACACAAACTGGGAAAGCCCACCACCATGGCCAGGGAACACATGTTCATTTCGCCGTTCCACCTGTTCAGCCCCCCCAGACAAGATCGATGAGCCAAAATGGCCAGCATTCCCAGTCACCACACGGTGCCGAATCCAATTCCTCCAGCATCTCTGGCAATCCCTCCTTATTAACCCAAATCTCCCTCGTCAGCCAACAGATCCATCCTTGTCTGGCGAGTCATTCGGGCTCTTCAACTCATCCGGCTCAAGTGGCGAAATCTGCAGTCACTAGTAAAAGTATATCCGGCCTTCCCGGCCACCTTGTCTATCCAGGTAACATGCTTCAAACGGGTCATTCTGGGACTGTAATGGTCGACAGGAAGTCAAAGAAGAATTTTGATAATCCTGACTACTGGCAGCATAGTCTACCGCCCAAGGTGACCCAACCAAACCCTCAAGATCCAACTCAAGTGTGCAAAAGCAAACATCTCTACAGGCACAGCATCCGAAGTCGCATCGCCGTGGCTGACAACCCTGAGTATCTTTCTGAGTTTAACAAGAGACCGGGAACGGTTCTGCCACCTCCACCTTACCGGCACAGGAATACGGTAGTGTAACGCCGCAGCTCTAGAGAGCCAGATTCCTCTACCAGCACTGTATGCTAAATTGGAATTACTGAAGAACAGGAAAACTCCCAGCTTCAGGAATTACTGAAGGAGACTTGTCAGACTTTAAAGGGAAAACCGATCAACCAAAGTGCCTCTAAACTATTCCATCTTTTCTATTCCAACAAATCAGAACGTAATCAGATCTACATATTTTAAAGGGGAAGTGTAAACCAAAAATGGACATTCTGTCATCATTTATTCTCCCTCATGTCACTCCAAACTTAAAATACTTTCAAACACGAATGAAGATACTGTGTTTTTGATGAAGCCTGAGTGATTTATGTCCCTCCACTGAAAGTCGATTGTACTGAAAAAAACAAAACAAAAAAACCCTCTAATTTGTTACAGCCAAATGTATTGTTTTTCTTAAACCATATATTTGTGGTTTGTTAAAACCTTAAATTTTGATTCAATATTAATGAAAAATATTTATTTTACCAAAGACCAAAAATTTACATTTGTATCAAGTAAAAATACTGTTCAAGACTATTCAAGCAAAATTGTTTTTCATTTTATTATTTATTTTATTATTATTATTTTCTTTTAGACAAACCAGAACCGGAAACCATGATTTTCAATTAGACCAGAATAAAAATGCACTTTACATAAATGGCACAGTTTTTTTGTATTTTTTTTTCACGTTTTTCAGTGTACAACAAAACTTTCAAAAAGTTCATAACAATATCGTAAAATAAATCCATATAAATTGTTTGTTCTCACATGTCAAGCAAGTACGGTTGAGCTTCCATTTACCATATTTGATGAGCTCTATGTATGCGCATTAATCAGTGTTTATGAATAAATGCTTATTAATAACATAACATTAAGCAACTGTGTCTCTGCAGAAGATTTAGATTAAACCTCTTTAAATGGATTTATTTTACGATCTCTTTAAGTTTTGGTGATGGGACAGAAATATCTCAGGTTTCATTTAAAATATCTTATTTTGTGTTTCAAACATGAAGTCTTATGTGATTTCATGGGTTAAATGATGAAAGAATATTCATTTTTGTGCAAACTAACCCTTTAATTCTCACCTCTGATTGATTCTCCTATTTAGGTGCATCGTGACATTGTGGAAACTGGGTAAGGAGGGTAAGGAAAAACAAGAAATCACACATTCTCTTGTGTTTTTTCGAAAGGAAATGGACTTTAATATCGTTTCTTTGTGGTGTAAGACCAGCTGTCTTTTTGACCACTTTCCATCCATCTTGTATTATTGCTGTTGATGCCGTAAGCTATATTCTCTTCCATTTTCTTGACTGAAGGACACGGATGCGTTACGAATCTAGGATCGCTCTCAAGAAAACTGGGGTACCCGTAACGCTTATGTGAATGAGACAATTGGATTGTAAATTGGTGCATCTTCTTGTACTGTAGTGGATTTATTAATGGACTACACTGCTATTTATTTTCAGTCATTCAGTTCTTCATGTTTTTTAAAGATCTTACCAATTTCCCCCAGTTTTGTACCCGTATATAGGAATTATTAACAAATCTGATACACAGGCAGAGAAAGATCACATGGGCAGCCATACAGCGTCTTGAGCTAACTGGAAATAAGTGCCTTTCTCAGTGGCACAAAAGCATCGGTGGACGTGCCAATGGAGTGATTTGACCTGGAATCTTTAACTGCTGTAAATATATGTGAAACCAATTTGAATATTTACTACTACTGAGCCACCCATTTGCAAATAGACTCACCCAGAGCTGGGAACCATGTATTGAAAATATGTTGTTGTATTTAATTCATCTAGTAATGAATTTAACGGCAAGATCGATATATTCTGGAAGGCAATATTACAGGTTATGGAGGGCACAATACAAACTCAAATGAACTACTGATCTCCAATGGAGAATTTTTCCGTGTACTGTGACAGAAAATACTTTTGTCTGAAATGTATCCTGCTCTCAGTGAGAGTGTGACCGTATTGTGGCCAGGGAGAAACTGTTCATATGTTTTATAAACTGTACTGGGCGTTTGTCATTAATTATGTCAGAGTGTCATAGCAGATAAGAAGTTGTGACTGTGCAAATTTGGTCCTAAACATACCATGCTGAAATGATGAGACTTTGATTTGCTTTCGACTGAACTGCCATTGGAGATGTAGCTAGATTTGTTTGGCTTTTCTGTTTTAATCTTTTCTTTGCCTTGTACTTTTGTTTGTTTTGGGGCTATTCCAAAAGATGAATCTCATCCCTGTTGTAATTCTATTTGATGGAATGACACAATAAAGGTCTTGTTTGAGATTTTGAACTTGTTCTTAAGTTCCTAGAGTCTGAGATGTGAGAGTCTTTTGTTGTTGCATGGTACGAGCACCAGCTTGTTCACTACACTTTTCAGTTGTAATCCATCATGTCTGAACTTGCCCTTACAAACAAGCACTGTGGTGCTATCGATTCGGATTTGCCAGTAAGTTAGATTCATATTTTTGCTGCTTCAGCTACTTTTTTTTTTTTTTAAATTACTGTTGTTTGAACTGATAATTAGTAAGCTATTGGAATGGAAAACGATCTTTAATTATAGGAAAAGTTCATCCAAAAATGATACATACAAAGATGTAAATGAGTTTGTTTCTTCATCAGAACAGATTTTAAGAAAATTAGTATTGCATCACTTGCTCACCAATTGATCATCTGCAGTGAATGGGTGCCGTCAGAATGAGAATCCAAACAGCTGATAAAAACACAATAATCCACAAGTAATCCACACCACTCCAGTCCATCAATTGACATCTTATAAAGTGAAAAGCTGTGTGTTTGTAAGAAACAAATGACCCATCAAATTATTGTGAGCTGTTTTGACGGCACCCATTCATGGCAGAAGATCCATTGGTGAGAAAGTGTTCTCCAAATCTGTTCAGATAAAGCCCGGTTCAGACTACACAATTTTAGCCCGATTTTGACACGATCTGCTTGACGTATGATGTCTTGGGGATTCATAAACGACAAAGGTGTGTCAAAATTGCATAATCTGTAACCAACTAAAAATCATGTAGTCTGAACTGGACCAACATAATGTGTTTATGGTAATAAAAGTATTTTATCAGCATGGTCCTGTGATAAATAAAAAAAGCCTGTATATATATATATACAGTTTTTTTTTAAATCACAGGACCACGCTGATAAAATACTTTTCCATGAAGGCAACATTATAAATAACATATTCCGTTTCAATTTCCCTCAATCTGGCTTATATTTTTAAAAACATTATAGTCTGTCTCCCAGACTGCAGTAGTGTTTGATTCCTGTCTCGAGAGTTGACGGAGTTGCATGACGTTCAAAGTTCTAACTCGTTTCACGAGTGATTTAAATTCACCTAAGAGACTTCACAAAGCAGAGAATTTGTCTTAATTTTACTGCTTAAATTAGCTCGAAACCAGTTCAGCAGAGATAAGATTTTGTTCGTTGTTTGCGTTCTGCTTGGTTTCCTGGATGTCTGCTGAGGGAACCCCGTTGTTGATTGGTCGCTGAGGTGACGTTGGAATGACGTCCTTTGGAAAAGCCCTCCGGAGATTGGTTGGCTTCTTTATGACGCGGAGGCTTCAGCAGTTTTGCTACAGTCTTGAGTTTGCGTTAAGTTCTTTGAAGATCGTGTTTCTCTGAAGTGTTTGAGTTTTGGATATACCGATCGCTTTGATGGTAAGCATGGGAGCACAAGGGGTAATAAACCTAAAAAGGGGTAATAAACACTGATTAAAGTCGCACCGATTAAATGAACACATCAAGCATAAATATATAAGACATACAACATACTATTTGTGAATCTATGCTCCGATACTTTCATACTTTCAATGATTTTCAACGATTGTCTCAGAAATCGTCCTTTTCTTTGGAATGCAGGGGGAAAAGTGGAGGTGTCCTGAGGTCATGCCCATGTCAGAGTTGGGAGTCTGCCAATTTTCTCCTGGACAGAGAGTTGTTAATCTGTCACTTTCTGTTTATCGGATTTAGCAATTTATGCGTTAAACGGTCAGGGGGTCCAAGAGTGTCTGTCGCGGGAATCTTTTGGATACCAGATTCTTTGTTCTGTGGTCCATTAGATGGTTTATTGATGCTGAAGCCAGTCACGAAACCTACTGACCTTCTGTAGCTTAAATTAATCCAGATGGGAGGGGGTCAGTTCTTGTTGTCCTAATATTGTGTCGACATCGGAGGTGGTTTGGTAAATCATTATCTCCGTGTTTTCTTTGTAAAGATAAGCAGAGCGAGACAGGAACTCATTGGAGAAAGGTGGCGCCTAGGCTGACCATGGTTCAGCCTTTACGACTCTCATAGTTGAGAAGAGAGGTTAGTTGTCTGATGGAATGCGAAGATTCCATCGTTCCTTTGCGTGATGTTCGCAAATGCCTTACACTCTTTTGTTTATAAGACAAAGAACTAGTGTGAAGGAGGTAGAGTATTTTAGCTCACTGATCTCTGCGCATGGAGACTTTATTCCAGCTAGGCAGAGGCAGTAAATAAATCAAACTGTCAGCACATGGAGGTTTACCTCAACCCATGTTGTTCCTCTCTAAGTATAAATGCCTGTGGATGTTTCTCTTTGTCCTCTCTATTCCAGCATCACAAATTGCACCATACTATCCATAGTTCCAACCAAAATTTTATAGCTACAGTGATTTCCAGTGATTTCCAGATTATTATTGCCTATACGCAAGGTTCAAGGTCTGAGCGCTCCATAACTTGTCCTGTGCTCCATTGATGTATGTTTATTTGACAGGATCAGTTAGTGAGACATTCCTGTCTCGCTCGGTACATTGTGTATGATGATCTTCATGCGCAGTGCCGGCATTTGTCCTTTTAAATGTCTCCTTTTGTGTTGGTGACCTGTAATAAATGAGCATGTGTTTAAAAGTGGCAGCTGTGTGAAGTGATTAGGGAGAGAGGGAATTCTAGAGGAATGAGAAAAAACAAAACTGTGGACCTTTTAGTGCATGGCCTATCTAGCATGTTTAGGCATCACATGCATGCTCCTGATGCATCAAACTAATGGCAACATAAAATAACCTCTTTTTGACCAAATTCTGAAGAAGAATTGTATGGTATTGAGACTAAGGCAATTTTAAAATGCATTGTTATTGTAGTATTAATGCAATTAATGTATTTTTCATATTTTATTATTATTTTATTTAGTTTTTTTTACTTTTAATTTAGTTTTAAGTATTTCAGTTTTCATTTTTATTTTTATTTTAGTAATTTTGTCATGTGCTTTTGTGATTTTAAATATTTCTGTTTTAACTTTCTTTTATTTCAGCACAATTATACTTTTTATTAGGGCTGT